GAGAGAGAGAGAGAGAGAGAGAGGCGGTGATGGGTGGAGCCGGCGTCGGGCAATGGGTGGAGAGAGTGTAGAGATGGTGAGAGAGGATAGAAATGGGTGAGAGGTGGTTTCTTCATATTATATTAGGGTTTGATTAGATATAATTATATAAAAATAAAAATAAAAATTTTTTTTAATTAAAACCTGATTTTTGAAATGTTAAACTTGTGATTTTATTTGTGAAATTGGAAATATAATTTCAGGTGTATGTGTAATTTCCTCATTATATAATGCTTATTTAATTGGATTTATCAAGTGCTTCCACTCCAGATTGTTGTGATTTGAGCAAGAATAATAATGATGAAGAATATGAAATCGACAAAGAAATAAGAACACAGATTTAAGTGGTTCGACAATGTGCCTTCATTCACAGGGGGCGGAGCAGCCATGATTTTTATTATGTATGAATAATTGAGCTACATCATCTATACATACTAACCATAGCCCATATAAAACTTTTGGGCCCATTCCATTTGATGCGCCCCGCTCGCTCCAACATGAGTTTCTTTATTCTAGTAAACACATGTTCCACTTTATATGATCCACATATTATAATACAAACTGATACTAACACAATTTGTGATGGATAACATTATTCTTTATTAAAATGTCATCTAGGAATAATTGATGAAATTCAAAATAATATAGAACTTATTGTTTATATTGATGAGAAAGATTGGAATGTCAAAATAAACTAGAAATCCTCGTCAATTTTGTATTGCTTGTTAAGAATGCCTCAGCATTGATGGGAGAGGAATGGAGAGAATTTGGCAATACTTTGAAGAGAAATTAGTACGTTACAAGAATTGGAAAATAAAAATTATGAAAAAAATAGACATTATGTAGAAAACGAAAAGTGGCATCTCCATGGAACATCTACAAAATATGTAGGAGGCTGTTCCTTCTATCAATTAATTTTTGCACATATTTTTAATAATTAATTTAAGATAACTCACAGATTTAAGTGTATTAAAACCTTTATTGTGGTATGTATGGATGTGGGTATAGTGATTTTAAAATATCTTAATAGATATAGACCGTTAAATTCACGTAATGGACTATAATTATTTGTCAAGTTCATTAGGAGGAATGATCTCCAATTTTGTAATACCTATTTTTTCTATATATATTTTTACTATGTTATTTAAGAGAAATTATTGGACTAGCATACTTTTTTTTTTTACTAAAATAAAATTTATCTCTCATCAAGAGTTTTGTAAAGACTAATTATATTCACACCACAACTTTCGTTTGGTGCAGTATATTTTAATTGCTATGAAAGTCTTCGACTTTTATTTATTGTCGCATTCATGTCTTCAACTTTTTTCATCGCATTTTTATTTTCAACCTCCAATTAATTAGCACATGTTGTCCTTGATGATTGATTTTATTCAAATATTTTGCTAGCATACCTTGAAAAGGCAATTTTACGATACTAACATCGGAGGTCAAAATAATGTTGTATGCATAAAAGGCAGTTTTAGACGCATTCAAATGTTCATTATTATTTTGTTCGAGAAAACATCGGCTTGTTCCATCAATATTAATACCGTGCTTAACTAAATTTATAGAAAGCGTTTGCATCTTGAAAGATGGACATCCGATAATAAAGGGGCAAAATTTATGAATTATTATTAACTCGCTTCATTCTATCATAAATTGTATTGCTTTAAAATTTCATTAAGTTCGTGTTTATTTTTAGTTATCTGAGTTGTTTTGGAACGTGTCTTGACATTGAGGTTATAATCCCAGTCTATGTGACGTCACATAGATCGGGGTTATAACTCCTGTGGGGCTAAATAGCATTATTCATAACTTTACGTGGACATGGAACATGCTACTTGTACTGAGTTATGCACTACAATGCACACTACAAGAATAATCCCTCATGTCCATTCTCGAGCATTTTAATTTTATAAAAAGACAATTGAATGAAATGTAACTAGCATCTACAATGCACACTAGGGAGAGAGAGAGAGAGAGAGAGAGAGAACCTTTGAGTCCTTTTTTATATGCAATTTTAAATTCTGTGCATGCTTTAATGGTAGATCAATAGGTTACGTAAAAGGAATTATTCAGAAAATTAATCCCAATCAAATTCGTAAATTATTTCAGCGTAAATTTATCCAAGTCACTGAACTTTCAGCAAAATCTCAATTGGACCCACAACTTTAGTATGTCTCAAATTTTTAACCGATAAAAATTGATTTTTTGTTGACAGTCATAACTAACTAACCTTCCACGTAATTTCTACGTGGTACCCTAGAAACAAAAATAGTAACATGAGAGTTGTGGCAAGGTCTTAATATAAAAGGTTAAAATGTGTATTTTTTTAATTTTATTCTAGTTTAACACTTTTATGACGTGACAGAGTGATAAGTTGGCATTTCATGCAGTGATTATGTAGATGATCAGTTGAAGTATGACTTCCAATTAAGCAATTTTTTATCAATTCGAGGGAGGACATATGACAGAGTCGTGATATTTGATTTCCAATGACCCAATTAAAACTAAATTGAAGTTCAACCATCCAATTGAGATGAAATAAAGTTTAACGATGAATTGTGATGAATATGTATGTAACACATTTTTGAAGCTGATCTTTCACACGACAACGATGGAGGAGGGAGGCTATGCCCAAGGGGGACATATTGGTTGATGTAGATTCCTTCAGTTCCATGGTGTTGTTGGTATCCTAGAAACTTAGGAAATTCTTCTCCTTGAGACTTTCGACTGTGTCCTTTAGACTAACCTCAAAAGGAGTGAAACTGATGCCCAAACTTTTTGCCTTCTCCTGGGACACTTGATTTGGATATTGGTTCAGTTTTTCTGCAATACTGCAATTTAAACCAAGTTAGAAAAAGAGTACAGAAAACAATGAGCTCTCTTTAATGATGATAAATTACTTGTGATTGCAAACTAGTTTAAGAAAATGCTGCAAATTGATTAGCAGAAAGAAACTAAATACATGTTTGTTAAGAAGCAGAAGAAACTTCTCGAATGCATTAAGGGAGAAAACAAACTTCGTACCAAACATGTACTGTTTGTTTTATCTGGTGTGGAGAGTACCCAATTCTTCCAAGAAAGAGTTCGTTCTAAGCAGGAAAACCATTTTAAGGGTCAGCATCTAAAGGAAAATTGTTGTAGTCTTGTAAACTTTAAATTGATGAACAATAGAAAAAGTAGCACACTTCAAGTTCTAAACTGAACATGATAACGTTGTGACCCAAATTTCATTAGAAAGTGGTGTTTTAAAAGAAGAAGGTGTTAAAGAGGTCAAAAATTAAAGTTTAACCCGGAACTCAGCTCCTGGGCGCCATGGAGACGCCTGAGCTCCACTCGCTTGCCGCTTGCCTGGCGATCGAGCGGTGTTGCGGTGCTTTTGCTTCCCGCAAGGCTGCCGCTCAAGTAACCTAGTTATCCAGGAAAATATTATTTCCTTATTTTTGACTCGTTTTTTATCCTCTTTCCAACTATAATGTATTCTTGGGTCCTATATATACTTCACGAAAATCTCTGGGCTTTTATATAACTTTATACGAGTTTTAGAGAGTCAGACAATATTGTAAATATCTTACTCGAAACAAAAAGCAATAGAAGAGTAAAGAATGAATACTTACATCTCGAGATGGTTGAGAGGAGGGTAAAGCTTCCGTAAAATCTGAAGAACTTCAGAAGTTAACAGTAATGTACCAACAAGGCAGTATCTGCCACTAGCTGAAGGATTCTCCAATGCTAAAATATGTGCACGAGCAACATCTCTTACATCAACAAACCTGTTTACTGAAGATTCCGCCCTTCCTGCAACATCGATATGCAAATATTTGATTAGAAGGAAGACATTCTTTTGCAGGTTTCGCCATTACTATGTAAATCTTGTCTTTTTGTACAAGGATTCTTATACACGATGTGTGTATTTATCTTTTGTCTATCTTACGCTTTCCAAAATAACAGAAGCCAGATGCTTAGCAATGTTATGATTCTCCGAGCATCACAACATATGGTCGCATATTTCTTGAAAAACATAGTAATAAATAAAGTAACACTTGGAACCTGTATGCTCGTGCTGCTATAATAGTGGACAGAAGGTGCTGCCAGGAGAAAAAAAGAATCCTCCAAAACGTTATATACAAAAATATAAATCTTCGTTTATTCAATTGTCTGCTTGTACAAGATTTCTGATGATTGATTTAAGGGTATGAAATTATCTGTCAATTCAAGGGAATGAAATATATGCTACACCGAAAGATTGTCTCACGCGTGATCTTGATTGCATACAGAAAATACCTTCTCTAACAAGGTTCAAAATTATCTCAGAAGATAAATTGAGAGTTGGCTGAAGAAGTGGGCCTAATACCAAGCAAGGATTCATCACTACCAAGTAGATGCAATTTTCGTTGGCAAATTTCCACGCGGCCTTCTCTGCCAATGTTTTTGAAAGGGGATACCATAGCTGAAAGCAGCAGCAGTTTTTTTAATTTAACATAATTGAAAAACTTCAAGACTACGCAAATGCCTAGTTTTTCTATTAATGGAAGGTTGTTTAAGCAGTTTGGTTCGATATATATTATCTGAATTGAATACCATTTGATGGTAATCCAAAAAGAAACGAAAGCACTGATATTCTGATACTGACACTGACCCACCTCTTTTTCCTTGCAAATTGCTGGATCTGAGAAGTATGTTTCGTCAATTATAACATCAGGGCTTGGAGGATTCTTGTTGACCATAACTGCAGCCGTAGATGATGTTAACACAACCCGTTTTACGGATGATACTTTTCTGCATGATCTAAGAACATTAAGTGTTCCCTTCACAGCAGGTTCTACAAGTTCTGCCTGAAACAAGCACATAGCTAGTAAGTCCAAGACTTTATACAACCTGCCTTTGGTGAAAATCACAAAAACCAGAAAGGATCTCAGTCGAGCAAAATTGCAATAGCATCAAAGCAGTATGTATGGTTATTTTGCTACAACTAGCTTATCAATGCATTTATGGTGATATTAAAATATAGAGAAAAGTTAGAACGACCTGAGGGTCAGTTACTGAAGAGAACACGGGTGATGCTGCATGAAAGACACCATCACAACCATCAACTGCAGAATCAAAAGATCCGTCTTCATTTAAATCGGCTTGGAACAGATGTAATCTTTCCTTAGATCCTTCAAGTTCCTTGAGGTGTGCAACTTTTCTTGGATCACCTGTATCATTTGAAGGCTTTACAAACATGACAACAAGACATGTCCTGTCTATAAATAATGATACTATTGATCACAAAACGTGGCCACTTGTGTTCTTGCATAGCTATTAGCCGGCCGGAGATCAGTTCTTAATACTACTAAAATTTTAATAGTCCTTATAAGTTATAACTAGCAAAAGAGGAAAACTGAGTACTGACCGAGGTCGCGAATGGTGGCTCTAACAGTGTAATGATGCTCAAGCAAAAGCTTGACGAGCCATGATGCTACATAGCCAGAGGCTCCTGTCACGCACACCACCTTCCCTGCACCGCTCATCTGCTCTAACTTGTCAGTGCTGCCGCTTACGGAGTTTTATGCAACATTACACTGCTCTCTAATATGGGTGGCCCCTATAATTAGTTATGAATTTACAAACAAAGTCAAGGACAAATGATCTTATTGATTCTTTGTTTGACTGGCCAGTCAAAGTTTTACAATTCAAATTTCAAACACTTGTACCTAAATTGACTATGCCTACCTATTAATTAATGGTTTTTTCTTCACGTAAGCATAAATCCCACTTGGAATTTGTTGTAACATAAAAGCTTTAGCCCCTATGTGGTAGGGATTAAAAATTATAGTTTTTAAATTGCAACTTATATTTTAAAGGATTAATTTTCATTATTGTGGAGGTTGAATTTTACACTATGAAAAGGAGGGAATAATTCATTGGTCGATAGAACTTGAAAAATACTCCATATTTTTTTCTTCTATATTTATATAGTTTTGACAATTCGATGTTCTTTCCCCCCTTATGATCGTACTCATAGAAGGAGTACCGACTTTGAACTATAAGAGTTTTATCTTGGAATCGTGCAGTGTTTCAAGTACTTGAATGAAAGAGAGGTCAAACGACTTTAAAACATTGTTTTTCACAACTCTCTTAAGCCAACCTTTCTAACTCTCTTCTTATAACTTATGTTAAGTAAATTTGACTTTTAATTAATAATCCACACACAAATCACTTATTTTTCTCAAACAGAATTTGCTTAGTCTTTGTCCATATTCCTTCATAATACAAGCAATTTATTCAACAATCATGCTTGGTGTATACCATTCCTTATACTTTGCCACATGGCATCATTTAATTGAACAGTTTAAAAAACAAAAGTTTTTTAAACCAGTCTTTTCTTGACAACACAGCAATTGTCATCCATAGTGTAAGGAGGGAATATACAAATAGTATAATCCTTTATTCAGTTATTCTTGGAATCCTGCTGGTGGGGTGTATTAGTGCTAAGTTGAATACTTGAGAGCAGTACTTAATTGACTAAATCTACCTATCTTACAAAACGTGCTATGATTTAAAACACGACATTAAGTCCACTTGACTTAAATGAATTCAAGTTATATTTCTAGGTGATCTAGGATTGGTGACCCGGTGGCTTGATATGAAGATTTTTTAGCAGAATGGACACGCGGGAGAAATTGGAAGGCAATTGACAGCAAACAACAGAAAAGTTGTTTAGCAGAATGGACAAAGATTTATTATAATACAATACAGATTTCACAGATTTTAAAAAATTTAGAGAGCCATTACAATATTAGAAGCTGGGAAAGTTCTTCTCCTTGAAACTGTCCACAGTGTCCTTGAAGCTTACCCCAAGAGGAGTGAAATTTATGTCCAAACTCTTTGCCTTAGCCTTCGAGAGTGAAATTTATGCCCAAATTCTTCGCCTTCGCCTTCGATACTTGGTAAGGAGGGGTCGCTACATGATTCTCTGTACTACTGGAACAAGATTGAAGGTTAAAAATATCAGTTTTGCTACACTTACAATTTTGGTTGACAGCTTTGTTTACATTTCATGATATGTCACATAGTTTTGCCATTGATTTCAACAACACTTATAATAATCAATGGCCACGATTTTGACTCATCAAACAATGTCAAACTAGTTGTATACAAGGTTATTTTGAAAATGGACTAATATTTCCTATTATCTCTTCTTTAGTCTTGCCGAGTCCTATCCAAACAAGCCTAGAAAATATGACGTATTCTATCAAATCCCTTTGTACAAGAACTTTGCTCTCTCTCACTCTCTCTCTCTAAAATCCCTTGTTTATGTTGTTGCTGTCTAGAGTTTGACCTCAAAGTTCCTTTTTTTTTCTTAATCAAGTCAGAGAACATGTAGAATATGATGTTATAACTCATAACCGGTGTAAAATATATACCATTTAAGCCTGTTTGGTAGCCATTAAAAAGAGTCTTAAAAAAAATGAGTTGAAAGAGTGATTTTTTGGAAAATGTGTAATTAAAAAGTAGAAAAAGTTTTGGATTTGCGTGTAAAATGTTTTATTGTGTGAATGTGTGATTGAAAATGAATTTGACGAAAAAAAATAAAAGAGTTTTGAAAGAATGGATGACAAACGTGGGCTACATATTATGTTTAGAAAAGGAACTTACTAATGTTGCGCATTTTGAAGACTTACTTTGCAGAGAGGTTGAGGAAAGCGTAATGCCTATTTAAAATCTTTAGAGCTTCAGAAGAATCTGTCATTGATTCTACTAGACAGTATCAGACACTGGCTGAAGGGTTCTCAAATGCTAGAATTTGTGCATAAGCAAACATCTCTAACATCAACATATCTATCGGCTCCAATGGACCAAACTTCTTTGCCTGAAAAATATGGTTTAAAATTAGTCAGAGTTGAACTAACTAAATGGAAATGTAATACGAATCAACATAGAAATACTTGTATACAAGTAATTTAGATTGAAATTAAACAAGTACGTAAATATGACATAACATTCGACAATGAGACTCTAATTTTGAAGGAGGGAAAAATTGATACTCACAAGTCACAAGTCAAGTGTGGCTCAGATCGGAATCATGAGATGGAATAAATGTAAAACTGGGAGAGATACCCTAAGTGTTGGAAAAATTGACTTAGTGGGCTATTTTTAGCATGATTTTGAGCGAGATCCGTTCATTCATTTTGGAAGATTAACGTTGATTTGTGCTCCTTCGTGAGGATATTGAAACCATATATTTACTTGCCAAAAATGATAAGCGGATAGCTCAAAGGGATGAATTGGAAGAGGTTAATGTGTTGGAGGGAAAACTTATTTAAGTTTGTTCCACATAGGAAGTTTACAAAGGCAAATACCACTTTGAAAGTGTGTAATCTGTGTAGCATATAGACTCTCTTCACGTGCGTATGCAACGGCGCAAATTCAGACCGAAATTGAGCTTTAGACCTTAAACTTGAGTGCTGGTGTGACCGGTATACACGAATGTAGGACCGAAAGGACAAAAAATTGGCACCTTTGGATGGTCCACATTTTGCCTTTATTTCCTGTATCTTTTTATTATTTTCTCCAAATAAAACCTTCTAAATTCACTTTAACTCTTGAAACTCATATGATAATATTTGTGCTAATGGAGATTTTAACATGGCTTCATGGTGGTGTTAAAGGTTGTAATATCAGTAACTCCCAAAATGTTAATTATCCATTAGAGCCTACTTATACAGTCAGTTTTTCCTCATTCCAAACCCACAAAATTCCATATTGTTTTCATTTCCTATTTGCTCGAAAATATTTCATGTTCCTAATATTGTCTGCTCAAGATTTTCCAATTTTATCTTACTGGTAGTATTCCGACAAAAACTCAGTTCGTCGGAGTAAACACGAAGTGCTCGATTTTTACTGGTTTACTGTTGTATCCTGGGAAATAGACACTCGTGAGAATCCTCAAACACCTACGGTAAGGAGCGAATCTATTTTAAGGAAACTGTGCAATACAGAGCCCTCGGTAAATGAATTGTGTTTATTGCCGAACCCAAACCAAATCAACTACCCATTTCCGCTGTCACCTCCTTCCACAACCACCAGTCGAACCCAAACCAAATCAACTACCCATTTCAGCTGTCACCTCCTTCCACAACCACCACCGCCCCCTTCCCTGCCAAAACATTAAAATATTTTGTATAATTCTTACTAATTGGAAGCCTGTATTCTAAGGTCAGTTTGTGTAAGATGCTAATCTAGCTACGAAGGTGGAATTTCAAATTGATAACATGGTTAAAGTATTGTACTGGTGGTCGTGGCAATGGTTGTGATTGTGGTTGATTGTGACCAATAAATAATATGTGATTTAAAAAATATGAGATTTCAACTAAATTTGTAATCGTGAATCAATTTTTTTTTTAACTTGTAACCAATTAATTTAATAATTTTTGACTAATTAATTTGATAATCTGTAATCGTGAAATAAGTTGTGACTTATAATATTTGTTGTTTGTGACCGAAAACTAATATGTGACCAATTAATTTGATAATTTGTGATCGATAAATAAATTGTGACCTATAAAATTTGTAATTTGTAATTGAGGAATAATACGTGATTTATTAATTTGATAAATTGTAACATATAAATTTTTGATTTGTAATCGAAAAATAATTTGTAACCAATTAATTCGATAATTTGTGACCAAATAATCAGAATTGTGACATTAATGTGTTTAATTAATAAAATATAGTTTTAATTAATTATTTTATAAATAAAATTTAATTAATATCTAATTTTTGAAGTTTTAAACCTCATTTCTTAGTTTTGAAATATGTCATATTTAATCTATTGGATATGATTTTTTCCATTATTCATAAATGAGCTCAATTTACACGATTGGAGTTTTCTATCAACATGCCAATACCTTCAATTCAACTTTTGGTCTAGACCAGCCAAAGAAAGCATTTTTTAAAATTGCCAACTCTTGTAACACCGACGCTCGCGAGTTCATGTATGTGATTGTGTTTATATTCCATTTATGATATATCTTCTACCTTTCGTCTTGTTGGATATAGGTACATGTGTTCTATTCCATTTATGATGTCTTCTACATTGCAATAATGGACTAGTTAATATCTTGATAACGTGCAAATCAAAAACTTTTGGACCGCTCACACCATTTTGATGCAAGTGTCTTCACCACTATTACGAATTATATGAACGAGATAAAAATCCGGAACCCGCTTGATTGAAGTATGAATATCGATTTCTTGGCACAATTTCATACATAAAATAAGATTTCGATATGAAAAAAAGCTACGAATTTGATAGATTCCTTCTAACGATTCAAGATGATGGGCGATTTTAGGATTTTGTTTTTTGTAAATAGAAAGACTGTGATTGGGGTTTTCTTTTGGCAAGTAAAGCGGATGATTTGGGACGTGTTTGATGGAGTGATTAAGGTCAATGAGTATATTAATTGATGATAGAGGTGTTTTTTCAATTATCATTTTTACTATAAAAAATGCAGTATTTTCGGTATAA